TGCTGCTTGGTCTATACTCTGCTGCCATCTTCTGTTCAGAGATGAACATTGCAAGGTCACATTTAAATTGAGGTACCATTGAAGGACAGGAGTCTGTTAATTGTTCAGAAAAATAAAGATTCCTCTTGAAGCTTTGAGGCCCTCCAGGTGTTTTATGGGTGCTTATGTAAATAATAGAGACCACCTGGATTCAAATCAGGGAACTTTGGTGTGGCTGGGAAAGGGGGTGATGGATGCAGATGGATCAGCAGTCCTAACAGTGCTGTGTGAATTCATCTCTAGCACTCTTGCAGTTGGAGGGCAGCTGAGAACCGAGCTCTGGAAGGAACATGACCCAGAGCAGTGAGACAGAGAAGTGGAAATGTCAGTGAAGCAGGTTCAGATGTGGGCACAGGGGCTATGGGCCAAACCTGGCCAACCTGGCCCACGAAGGTATAGGGAAGGAAAAAAACCCTTTTGTCTCCACCCTCCTGGGTTCTTTGGCAGGACCCTGGAAATTAAATCGAAAAAAGACAGGCTAACAAGAGAAAACCAGACGGAGGGCATGAATGCAGCACACACACATGGGAGGAACTCTGGGTGAGTAACTCAAACAGGTAGTTCGAAATTGGGGCTTTACAGAGCATCTTAAAAGAACAATAAATTTTTAGAGAAGTGACAAGATAAAAGAAAAAGGGTTTCTAGGATTTTAGGGGCAGCAAACTGTGGCAAGTAAAATCATGGGAAAACTAGTGGAAGATAGGAGTTGTTTAATAATCAATATGTCAAAGTGGAATAATTTGGGGTGGCATATTCTGAACCCCTCAAAAGGCTCTCTGAGGAAGGGGCATCAAAGTGGGACACCGAATGGAGTCTTTGGCTGTCTTTATGGCCACCTAGTGCCCCATCCACTGAGAGGCCTGAGGTCCACTGTCCTGATCAAATTACACGTGGAATGTAGTGTTCATTTCTGAGCGTTGTTTGTTAAAAGAGGCATCGATGAAATGGAGATCATCCAGGACTTGACTCTGCACACGAATCACCCTGGGGGCTTGTTGACACGTAGGTTCAGGTTCAGTGGGTCTGGGCAGCCTAGATCTCTACCCAGCTCCCAAGCGATGATGGTGCTGTTGGTTCAGGCAGTGAACTTAGTGTAGGAAGGATCTAGAAAGGGGTGATGGTCAGGAGAATAGGTCTTACAAGGATCAACTGGAAGATCCTCAGATGTGAAGTTAGAGAAACCAGAGGTGACTTGGGGATCATGATAACTGTTTCCCTTTGGGATGAGTATGGCTTTCTTCAGTTCCCTCCCTGAGGGCAGACTTAGACAACTGTGTAGGGGGTGGAATTTGGAATCAACACACGGGTGAACCTCCTCACAAGTTAAACTGGCCACAAATGGGATGAGCTGCCGGTTAAAGTTGTGGGATCTCTTCCATGTTGAGATTTCAATCAGAGGTGAACAGTCGTTGGTGGGAGGGTGTTTTACACACATTCCCATCTGGGTGGAAAAGCTGGTGGTTTCAGAAGTCCCTCAGATGCTAGGAGGAAGAGTTATCCCGGGAGGATGTCCCTCATTTGATTTCACGATTAAGATAGGGAATTGTTCTGAAGCCAAGAATGGGAGGTGCCTGTAGAAACAAAACAAAATGAAACTCACACAGTCAGTGCAGGACTTTAAGTATAATTAAGCTGCTCACGTAGATGAAATAGATGAGAAGCCACAAGTCACACGGATGGCTCCAAAGGATGTGACGTCCCTACTGAGAGTAGAAGCTGGAGACAGCAGAATTAAAAACACCGGTGGTCTCGAGCCGCTTTCTGGAAGGGACAAACGACTCCACAGATCTTAACCAGCCCCCGGGCTCAGCGTCTGCTGTGGGCAGGCCGTGGGGAGGATCCCAAGACACAAGGAGCAGGATGAAACCGTGGAGAGAAAAGAAGCAGCATACCATGTGTTAGAAAGGCCACGGAATAATGTAAAACACGGATTTGGTGTTTGGAAATGCATGCCTCAGCATGTGGGCATTTAACCTAATAAATGTGCGAAACAAAAGACTGAGTTTCCACCGTGTTGAATCTGCTGGTCCTTCAGTGGAGCCAGGGTTTGGAGTTGGGGGTGTTTCTCTGAGGAAAGGACTAGTTTGTTATTTCTCCTGGGGGCATATTTTATTTTGGTGGTATCAAGACAGCCAGATGCTTTTCCTGCTGATCATTTGGTTGGGAGAATACAAATATTTGTGGGGGACATATTTTTTCAGCAACTACCCAGCAAATGTGATTAATGTAGATGATCCAGCTGGAAACTCTAGTAGGCACCACACTATTTTGTTGTCCTCCCCTTCCAAATGCGATTTTCTAGTCAGTTATTCTAATCATTACCTCCCTGTCTCCTTCTAGGCCCTATCTTTCTCGCTATGCAGACCACAGACGAATCGCATTTTTGTCTGCATCTGTGACTTTCCCTTCAGTTAAGTTAATTAGGGAGGCATCGATTAGGTTGCCTGCGGTAACTCAGACTCTGTAATGAAGACACATTCTCCTCTAAGAGCAGTAAGCTCACTGGCAGGATCCAAAGCAAGTGCAGAGAACTTACTCTTGTCTGGGGAAACCGGAGAGGGCGTGCCCTGTATTCCTGTGCCCATGGTTCTGTTGGTGTACAGGGAGAGCCGGTCTTCCCATTGCCCTCGGCCCCCCAGGCCCTGCTAGGAGCATTGGCAACCTCTGTCCCCATTCCAGGAGAGATGTGAGAGCATGTGCCTGCAGACAAGTTGGTAATTTCTCCTATAGGTGGTCCCAAGGAGCCTCTCCCCCGGGGTGTGGTCAGCCAGCCTCATCCCTGTTTTATCATAGCTCAGTCATTAACAGCTCAGCTCCCCTTTGCCATGAGCATTCAGATTCTATGATGAGATGCAGGGCAGGCAAGAGCTGAGAGGGGGCTGGAGCTTTCACAGCACAGGGTGGACCAGGGCCCTGTCCGATATAGGGGCCTTCGGTTTGGACAAGGAAGATATCAAGGACAACCTCCCATACTTCTCATTTTCTCTGAAGTCAGTCCTGCTCTTTTGAGGTTACAGAGGCTAAAATAATAGGGTTTACTTAACAAACACTTATGTCATGCTTCTTAGGTGCTGGGGTACTGTTTATCCCACCTTACAAATGTTAATTCATTAAATTCTCACCACACATCTCATTCACATCTCACTTTACAGATGAGGAAGTGGGGGCACAGAGAGGACCAGTGACTTAGCCAGTTACACCAGTGAATGGTGAGCTGGAGTTTGCACCTGGCTGTTGGGCTTTAGAGTCTGTACATGTAATGGGTGCATGATGCTGAATCGTCCTGCAAAGGGTTATTTCAGTGCGGGACATGAGGAAGCCGCCCAGCGCCCCCTGCTCCCGGAGAACCAGAAGCAGGTGGACCTGAGGCTGACCTCTGCCAGGAGGGGACAGAGCCAGTCACCTTGACCCTGATTTTACCGATTTGTTACAAAAGGGGCTTTTGCCATCAATCCCTCAGGTGGTGCTGGGTCCAGCAGGGGTCCCTCCAGGGGGGAAGGTGGCTGTGTTCCTGGGGGCACTTCTGTGTGACCAGGATCCCCAGAGCACTGGCTGGCTGTCTGGGTTTCAAGGCCGCCATAGGGGCTGTAATTATTTTTTAAGTGGAAAATAAAAGTTTTGTTGAGAAGATGCCTTGGAAAAAACTCCAAAGTATAAATTTACTTAATCTTATATTTAACAAAATTTATGTTTTAATTAAAACTATGCATTAATTTCTTCCCCCCAGCTTTATTGAGGTATGATTGACAAATAAAATTGTGATATATTTCAAATGTATGCCATGATGATCTAATCCAATACACGTACACATTGTGGAAGGATTTCCACACTCAAGTTAATTTCCCTGTCCATCACCTCATAGAGCTGCTTTGTTTTTTGTGGCATTTTTTTTTTCTCGTAAGGATGTTTAAGATCTCTCTTGGCACATTTCAAGTACACGATACAGAATGATTAACTACAGGTACTATGCTGTACATTGGATTCCTAGAACATATTCATCTTACAACCAAATGTTGGTACCCTTGGACCACCAGCTTTCCCCGGTCCCTGGTGACCACCGTCCTACTCTTTGTTTCTAGGAGCTGGACTTTTTCTGTTTGTTTTTTAAGATTCCACTCTTATCTCTGCCCTCTATGGATAAATTCCCCTCTGGGCCCGAGACCTTGACAGCCCCCAGCTTTGTCCTTTCTGTTGGGAGGAAAGGTGCCAGGGAGGATGTGACGACAGGTGCACCTTTCCCAAGAGGCAGACGACAGGGGGGAGGAAAAGATGCCACACTTGCAGAATCTACCATTCAAAGCTCCCTGCTAGAGATTGCGTGGGCTGCTTTCTTTGAACACGAGGTCGGAAGGATGGGTAACAAGGCTGCTAAAGGGGCTCGGAACGCCTTCCCGGTAGGGAACCAGCATCTTCCTGGCGTGCACAGACCAGCTGCCAGGGGCGGCTACCTGGATTGCTGCAGAGTGGGGCCCGCGCGGGGCTAGAGCTGGAAGTAGGCAGGTACCACCGGGCTGTGATACCTCGCTTCCTGCCTCCAGGGAACGAGGGGCTGTGGGAACCCTTTGGCTTCTGCCTTTATTTCTTGGTGTCCTGAGACTTGGTCAGGGGGAAGGCTGTTGCTCTGAGTCTTAACACTCTCTCATGTTTGGAGGCCAGACCTCCTGTGGGTCGCCCTTCTGCCTTACCTGTTTGGGTACCAACTAGCGTTGAAGAAGGTTGGAGTTCTCATGTGCCCAGTGATTTAATCTTTCCCCAGAGTGGAAAAGCACCTGCGTAGCAAGGAGGGAACCAATGCATCTTTCACTTACTGCAAAATATGCTAGGTTTGCCCCCTCGCTGTTTGTTTTTACGTGAAATAGAACATATCTTTACTTATGTCGTGTCTTGCGTGGTGGTCTAAATACCTGCTAGGCTCACCTCTTGAGATTCATTTCTTTTAGGTGAAGACCCACCTCTTCCTAACACATCATCTAGCATGCAGATACCTTGAGGGAGAAGGAGGACAGGACACATTAGCTGGGCAGTGGGAATTGGTTTACCAGTGATCAGAAAGCTGGCCACAGGAATTTGTTTGGAAGAATGAGACGCAGGTGGGATCCATTTTGACGAAGACAAAGGAGAGCAGGGATTCTCCGTCTTCATTTCAGAGTGAGGGTCATGTCTTTTCTGTGCTCTAAAAATGACTGATTTTCCCCTTCTCCAAAACCTGGTGGAAGTGGGGTCTAAAGAATCAGAACTACTTTCACCTTCATGCAAAAATGTTAACAGAACCCAGTTGGTCTCTTCATATATATGTATATGAATAATATCATATATATATACGAATCATATATATATATGAATAAATCCTTATTTAGTAGCATTAATTCTGTATTATGTGGAAACAAGGACAACCACCTCATCCTGCTTTGCCTGTGACTGTCCTAGTTTTTTTTTTTTTAATTAATTTATTTATTTGAGAGCAGGGGAGGGGCAGGGGGAGAGAGAGAATGTCAAGCAGACTCCCTGATAAGCTCAGAGCTCAACACAGGGCTCGATCTCACGACCTGAGATCAGGACCTGAGCTGAAATCAAGAGTCGGACGCTTAATGGACTGAGCCACCCAGGCGCCCCAGAGATTGTCCTAGTTTTAAAAATGAAAATCTCACATCCTGGGAACCCTTCAGTTCCTGGCGGCCTGGGACAGTTGGTTACTTTAGAGGAGGACTTCGCAGGGTAGATTATGGACATTGATTGGAACTCCTGACACAAGCCTAATTGCGGGAATTGATTACCTCCCTCCCCTTTTAAAGGAGAAAACAGAGGCTTAGATGAATAAAGAAATTGGTCCAAGACCATCCAGAGGCAAGTCTTGGATTTGGAACTAAAGACTCCTGGTCTGTTTGGTCCTTAAGACCTTCCCCAGTCCTCAAATTGGGGTCTGTACCTAGCGTTTCTCCACTGCTTGCTTACTTCTTCCTTCTAATTTCTAGTTCTTCCCCTTTCTTTTTTTTTCTGCCCAGATTTCACATTCCCCAGAGACATTTTCTAGTCCTCACTAATGCTAGTCAGTGCTCAAAATATCATTGATCCTTGTTCTAACTCAGTGGTGCCCAATAGAAGTTTCTGTGGTGATGGAAAGGTTCTATATTTGCACTGTTCAATATGGTAGCCATTAACCCTCAATGGCTCTTGAGCACTTGAAATATGGCTAGTGCATCTGAGAAACTAAATTTTCAATTTGATACAAATTTTAATAGCCATCTGTGGCAATATGGTACTACCGTAGTGGACAACAGAGCGAATCTAACTCATTGGTGTTTTACTTGAAAATGTGAGTATCCACCACTGAAATCAGGTTAGGTTTATCAACTATAAGCTCAAGTAGGTTTATCATTTGCTTATCCTGACCTTGCATGCTTGTTGTCTCATTAGTTTTTCTTCTTTGTTCTCATCACAATTTTGGTGATTTGGAGATTTTGTTTTCTTACAGGTTCAGCGAAATGAGGACAAATCTACTACCTTGAAATTGGCTGATTTTGGCCTTGCAAAGCACGTGGTGAGACCTATATTTACTGTGTGTGGGACTCCGACCTATGTAGCTCCTGAAATTCTTTCTGAGAAAGGTACGTGTTATACCTTGCTCCATGGGACTGTGGTTCACTGACTAACAACTGTCTTATTTTTAACATTTAATATTTTTCAATATGGAGCAATCAGAAATCTCAGAGTTGGCACCAGGCTTGCACTTGGATTTTAATGGAAATATTTGAAACAGACCAAATATTTGAACAGATATTTGAAACTTGACCAAAGCATGTGGACTTTTTCCTCAGCTGGGCTGCCCTTACAGTGGAGGGATTGGGGGGTGTATGTGTGTGTGTGGGCAGGAGAGCGAGATAAAAGATGACGGAGAATTAGCCTGGGAACTCAAACAAGGAAGGCCATTTGTGCCACTGACCCAAGGCTACCTGTAATGGGAAAAATTTGAAGCAGTTCTTATGGTAATTGGCTTAAAAATTCCTCCTCCAACTTTGCATTTTAAGGAGCAAGGTGTCCCATTTCAAACCCCATGAGTAGTATTTATTACCAGTTTGTATATTATACGAGGATCCAATGGACTGTTTTAGTGACACATTCTATAAAGTACATAAAAAGGAAACCGTTATTATTATTATATGGCTCCAAATATATGAATGTCTGTTTAGCCACTGTAGCACTTTGGGAGAAATCAGTTTAGGCGTCATATGTAAGGCAGGAAAGCTCTGGGTGGGTTGTGGGGTTGGTGGGGAGAAAGGAGAGAGTTTCCCAGCAGCAGAAGCATCAGGGAAGGTAAGACGGGGAGACAGGAATATGCACTGGGGTTGGGTGGTAGAGCCATTGAGAAGACTGGTCTCGGTGTTGCAGAGGGCAATTTAGTTGGCTGACTAGGTTGAGTCTGGATTCTCCACAACGGGGGAGGCTGAGCAGAGGAATTTGGACTCAGTGTGGCCAGCAGAGTGGCTAAGGCACTGTGGTGACAACCATAGACATTTTTGTGGAGGCATCAATGACCTGGGTAAAAGAAGGAAAGCAAATAGTCTCCCTGAATGCTGAGGGAAACCACAGCCTTGGTGCTGATACCAACTAAGGCTGTTGGAAAGCTCTTTTGGGAGATGGGGTGGATGGGTTGAAATTTTAAACACAGTGATTTGGTAGAGGTATGAGGATGGATGCATGGAGTTGTCCACTTGGCAGGGAGGTCAGGCCCTGGGCTGAGCGGGTGCTCTTGAGACTCCTCAACTCGGAAATGGCAGCCCATGCGGGCGAGATAAGGAGCTCCTCATGATGCCAGCAAGGGCAGCCGGGGACAGACTCTGGAGGGAGGCCCAGAGGTGGGGGATGGAGAAGGAAGGACGGGTTAGCAGGGGACAAGGCAGTGGAAGCAGGAAGAAGACGAGGAGAGTATGGGGTCACAGAGGTCGAGGGGCACATTTCAAGATGGGAGGCCAAGCTAAGCCAGACCCTCCTGAGTGTGAAAGGTAGTACAGAGCTGAGAAAAGGCCAGTAAAGTTGGCCAGAAAGAGGTCAGCAATGATTTATTTCTGTAATATATATATATATTTTTTTTGCTGATTTGTCTTGACACCATTGCTCTGGGGCTTAATAATGAATATCCAACTTCCCAATTATAGCTGCTGAGTGTTTTCCTTTTCCAAAGGTAAAAAGTTAGAACATGTTTGAAAATGTCCATACTGCTGTTATAGGGTTTTGTGAGGATGATTGGGCAATACATATCAAAAACCTTTACTGTGTCAACCTTTACTGTATTGTGCATTTAATTTCCGGAAAGTTATTGCAAGAATATAGTCTGAGATGTGCACAAATATTTAATAGATGAGGATGTTCATCACAGAATTATAGTGTAAGAAAGTTAGGAAATACTTAAATTACAACATAGAGGATTTATTATATAAAGGGAATACTGACAGCTATTAGAAATCATATTTTTGAAGAATTTTTTTTTATATTCTTTATAGGACATTCCTCCATAGGAAATGCCATGATATATTAAGTGAATGAAATAGGGTATAAAATATGTCCAATGTGATCCTAATCTCGTTACAGGAAGTATAAATATGTGTGGGTGTGTGGTTGTGTGTGCTCATGGGGGATACAGCTATAGTAATGTCAGTCTTTTTATAATCATAAGAGAGAGCCAGTAAAAATATTTTTTCAGTGTGAAAAGACAACGAAGGACTAGGATGGAGAGGCTGCTGGGGTAGACCAGGGCTTCTTGAACTGTCTCTGGTGAGGGTTTTAGAATTTCTAATATAGTGTGGACCCACACGAAGCTCTGCTACATGGGATGAGGTCACCGCTCATGCCACGCGTGACTTACCACGTGTGCTCGACAACCCCCGAACTCTGCCCTGTACTCCGATCAGTGAGACGTGTCCTTGACCATGCAGCTGGATGTCATGGCCGTGCCCAATTGCTATGCGTTTCCAAATGTTTACTTTCAGTTTCTATGCTTATTTTATCCCGGACCGGTTAAGAAAGGGTAACAAACGGGCAGTCGTCTGAGGACCATGCTTTGGGTAACACTGGTGTCGACCCCCCCGTTTGTAGGCCTTGGCAGCAAAGCACCCCCCCATGTGTTTAGAAGTGGCTGGTGCTTACTGAAAGCTGCGGTCCTCGGTCACCCAGAACCACAGTTCCCCATGTTTGTCTCCTCCTGTCTGATCCAGCCTGGTCTCAGTTTGGGTTCTGTCTCTGCCTGTCACACAGGTTACGGGCTGGAAGTGGATATGTGGGCCGCAGGCGTGATCCTGTATATCCTCCTGTGTGGCTTCCCCCCTTTCCGCAGCCCAGAGAGGGACCAGGACGAGCTCTTTAACATCATCCAGCTGGGCCACTTCGAGTTCCTGGCCCCTTACTGGGACAATATTTCTGACGGTGAGATTGGCTCCCCCGAGCGGGACACGAGGCCATGTTAGAGCTGGGGCCCGTCCTGGGTTCTGACGGCAGAGCAGGTTTTAGGTCAGCTGCGTAATGAGGCGCACAGGGGGCCCACCTCAGAACTGGGCACGGAGAGGGGCTGTCGACCTGTGCTTCATCCTTTGTTAACTGTGAGCTTCGTGGAGGTTTATTTGTATAGCACTCCGGGAAACAGGACTTGCTTTGGATTCAATGAAAAAGTCTGACCACTGGTTGCAGTCACTAGATACTTAAGGTGGTGGAGGGACCTCAGAACTGAAGAATATCAGAAATGTAAACCCTCATTTGGAAAGATCACAGTCATCTCGTATATAGAAGTACTGGGAATTGAGCAGCCCGGGAATGTGTATCTTCCTCGTGAACAGCCAGGGGTCATGGAGGGGTGTAGTTGGAGCACAGAGGCTCTGGAGGGCACGGGGTGACGGTCTTAGCTATCTCCAGTGGAGCAGAGGCATGTAGGGTCTTCCTCCTTTTTGGCCCCTTTCAAAACCCATCTTTCCCCTTTTTGCTACTGATTTGTCGGTACCACCCGCTACCCTTATAAAATTGGGAACTGGATATTCAGGGGTTTTGAGTCTTTGAGTCTCTAGCTTAAAAAGTAGAATAGGAGTGACAACTTTATTTTCCCTCAATTCCCCCAACCATGTCATCTAAGATGAGTTATCGAACTGCCCTCATCCCCAGCCTCAGTCTCCTTACTTGGGGTTGGGGGATGAGGCAAGGAGAAAGCTTCATTTTTTTTTGCCCCTTAAATAAGGTAGAGAGAGGGGTGGCGTGCTGTAGGTGGAGTGAGGGTCTTGAGCTGAGCAAGCCAGTGGTGACTTGGGAATTGAAGGACTGAAAATCATTTTAGAAAGTTCTGTGCAGCACTGTCCTTAGATTTGGGAATGGTGGCCCCTGCCCTGAGCCCCATGCCTTAGAGAGGGCCCTACTCTGGTTATGCCCACCCCACAGAGCAAGGGGACTCTGGAGCCAAGGAGATGTGTCCTCCAGAACCAGGTCCCCCCTTCTAGGTGACTTAATCAGAACCCCAGAATTCCCTGCCCAAATGGTGCAGGCCTACTTCCAAGACTGGGGAGACCTCTTTACCCAGAAACTTCCTATATTGCCCCAGGGTAGCCAAGGAGCCTCTGTTCAGAGGGGTAGAGAGAGCTTGGACATGTTGGTGGGGTGTTCAGTTGTCCACACTTGTACATGTGAGTCTGAGAATTCCCAGTTTAAACCTGACCCACTCCCTGCTGAGTTCTCTGGGGATCTTGAGGGAGTGATGCTGTTTGGGGTGGGTGCCCAGGCATTTCGTTGGCAGAACTCACCCAGCTTGAAGTGGGCGAGGTAGGAGAAGTCCTGTGGCTTCCATGCTTAAGAGGTGGCCGGAAAGTGGTGTAGAGGAGGGGCTGATGGGTGGGTGAGCAGCTGATCTTAAGCAAGAGTCATCACCCAAGGAAGGTGGGGAGAAGTGGGTGGTGTTTTTCTCATGTGATCGAAAAGGAAGCTCAGGGAGCTGGCCAGGGAGAGCCAACAAGCCACAGAGAAGTCATTTCTCCCCCCTTGCCTCAAGCCACCTGGCCCACCAGTTGCCCCCCCATCCCTCTAGAATCAGTCATGATCTTGGGCAGGAAATGAAATTCATTTTGACTTGGTGCTGTTTTGTACTTAGGTTTCCTTCACGTGTTTCTCAACTTTGTCAGTGTGAAGGCGTATTTACCAACTTAGGAAGGAGATTGAACAGATTTTATTTAACAGCCCGACGATTGATTTCAAAATGTAAGATATGTAGACATATGGTATGTGGCCTCCATTTGTTCTCTTGCACGGGGCGCCATGGCTGTCAGGGGTGGGCCTGGCCCCCTGACTCTAGAAACGAACGGACATCCTCTAAAGCTCTGCTGTCCCGACATGGTAGCCCCTCGCCGCTCGTGGCTATTGCAGTTGAAATGTGCACTCGTTGAAAGTCAACACATAAAAATTCCGTTGCTCAGTCTCGGTAGCCATATTTCAGACGCTCAGTGGGTAGTGCAGACGTGGGTGGAAGGCTCCCAGCATCACAGAAAGTTCTGTGGGGCAGCGCCCTCTAGCGTGTGGTGCTGACATGGGCGTTTGTGATCTCAGTTCGTGCGCGGGGCAAATTCAGAGCCCATGCATTCATTTCATTTTCTCTTCCTTTCCGCCCTCCCACAGCTGCCAAAGATCTGGTGAGCCGGTTGCTGGTGGTAGACCCCAAAAAGCGCTACACCGCCCACCAGGTCCTTCAGCACCCCTGGATTGAAACCGCGGGAAAGACTAGCACAGCGAACCACCGGAAGGAGGTGCCCCCCGGCAGTGAGGGCCACATCCGGAAGCAGCACAAGCGGTCTGCTGAGCAAGCCTCGTAGTGGGCGCCTCGAGTACTATGCAGCCCGCTTCTCCCCCAGGGACAGAGAACGAGACAGAAATCCAGGAGGCCGACAGTGAGGAGGACTTCAGTGAGGAGGACTTCTGCCCATCGTTGGAGGATCAGGGCAAGGAGAGAGATGCTTAGTATATTTTAAAGCGTATTTTAAAAAATGAACTTGAGTCTTAACCGTTAAATGTTGTAACATATTTTTAGATTTGTATATTTGAAGACTTTAATACATTTATTTTGGGGGGGTTTAAGACTGTCAGCGAGGACTTGTTGGTAATAATGCTGTGTTTTGCTTCCTCCTCGTAAATCAGGTTCATGGTAAACGACATGAGTGGTGCTTACCAGGATCTAAACTCCCCCTATGAGGGTGAACAAGGTGAATCATGGTCTTTCTGTATTAATAAAATGTACTCTGACTGACAGAAGTGGGTTGTATTCTAATGACTTCTTAATGCTGGTGAGGGGAGCCAGGGAAGTAGAGTTTAGACAGGCTTCCTGAAGCCAATATGACTACATCTAAGTGTTGTGATGGACACTTGATTAACTGGCAGGACCTGTTTATTTGGGATGTGCTGGTCTTGCTGTCCAGCATTTACTGAAAATCCGTTCTGGTACTGGTAGAAGAATGGAAAGGAGAAGTCATTGATTTATTCTTGCCCCTACAGCACCCCTTTATACCGTTTTTCAGCTGATTATCCCTGAGCCTGAGTCACGTCCACATGAAGTTAGGCACTCAGGCTGTGACTGTGTTAACGTTTTCAGATCACCAGGGAGCCGTTTAGTGCATTATGTCAGCAGTGCCGTAAATGGATTACACTCAGGCTCCAAGTTGCTCAGAGAGTTCAGGCACGTTCCTACCTGCAGGGCAGACACACGGAGGGCTCAGGATGCATGTTCTCTGATACATTCCAGATTTCTGTATGGAAATGTTGGTCTTTTCAGACGACTCGGGGATATGCATGAGCCGAAAGCAAAACACGATCCTGATATTTTCCAAATTGACCTTTCTGGGTTATATATATGTAACCCAGCCCGTGGGACACAGAACCAGTCCACCAGCGTGGGCTTCTCACCCCGCCCCCTTCTCCCTAATGGTGTTGGAGTCCTCCGGGCGGAGGAGGACATCAGGAAACCGGCAACAGCGAGAGAGTGTTTAGTGTAAGGAATCCCTTAAGTGGGAGCTGGAACACTGCAAAAGTGTACCTGGGGCTCTGAAGTGATCTAGCGACGGTAACGGCAGGAAATGGCTTCCAAACTGAGGTGGGGAGCCAAAGGAAGAGGCTGGGTGATAAGAACCTGGAAACTTGGAGGAGAAACCCCTTGTAGTGGAGGCTGACTGTGCTGCCCCGATCCCTCTTGAAGAGGAAAGGAAGAGGTTGCTGGGTTGGCAGTCCTCAGCAGTAACTATCTACGGGCATCACTTTCAGCTGGAAGAGTCGCCTCACCCAGGGTCACACCTCCCTCATGGGGCAGGCTTCGTCCAGTGACTGGTCCCTGCAGGGAAGGAAGGCTCGGCCCCCTTGCCCCCAATGGGGACAACGCTGAAGGGCCATCCCAGCCTCAGCATCCCAGCGTCGGCCTCGCCCAGTCTTGCTTTTTTCCGTTCTCAGAGGTGACCAGCCTGAGACCACTCCCTAAGAAAACTTCCGCATGCTAATCATGTCGCAGTTGGCCTCCCAGGAGACAGAGCCTGTGACCCCTTCTGGAAACGTGGGGCTGCTGCAAAGTGTTCGCAGCTGGTGCTTTCAACACAGGGGCTCCGAGGAGGGAGCTGGGGCCCACACACCTGAGGAGAGGATGCCACTCAGTAGGCAGTACCACGGACTCTTGTTCTGCAAACGTGGAGAGAGGCTGGAAGCTGGACCCATTGCTACTGGAATGGCACCAAAGGCACTACATCCAAGTGAGAATTTTCGGGTCACACTAGCATCATCTGATTCTCTTGACCACTCTCTCTGAGCCATTTCTCCTGTTGGCTTCCACAACGCCACGTTTTTCTGGTCTTCTTCCTGCATCTCTGTCTTCTCCTTTGGGTTTCCTGTATAGCTAGGTTCACTCTTCTTCCGGTTGCTAAAGGTTGTTTCCTCATTAGTCACCAGGGAAATGCAAAGTAAGGCCACAATGAAATCATACTATATACCTATTAGAATGGCTACAATGAGAAGACTGACCATACCAAGTGTTGGTGAGGAGTTGGAGCAACTGGGACTCTTGTATACTGCTGGTGGGGATGTTCAATAGTCTCCCCTCTTTGGAGAAAAATTTGGCAGTTCTTTAAAAGCTAACCATATCCCGCCCGTATGATCCAGCCGTTCCACCCCTAGGTATTTACAAGAAAAGTTACAGTGTTTGTCCACACCAAGACTTGTACACAGATATTCATAGGTGCTATGTTTGTAGTAGCTCAAAAGTGCAAGCAGTCTGAGTGTCCATACATTGGCGATGTATAATCAAATTGTGGTGCGTCCATACAATGACTACAATTCAGCAATAACAAGGAATAAACTCTTGATACAAGCAACAACATGGACAAAAAAAAAAAAAAAAAAGGAAAGTAATTAGAGTGAAGGAAAGAAGTCAGACCAAAGCAGATTATATTCCGTGTGGTCCCATCTACATACAATTCTAGAAGATGAGAACTAATCCTAGCAAGGGAGCAGATCAGGGGTTGCCTGGGGACAGGAGGGAGGGAGGGGTTACAAAGGAACACCAGGTAACTTTGGAGGTGAGGGATATGCTCATTATCTTGAATGTAATAATGGATCTATGGGTGTATACATGTCAAAATTTATCAAATTGTACACTATCAGTATGTGCTGTACATTGTGTGTCACTTATACCTCAATAAAGCTGTTAAAAAGCATAGTTGTAGTTCCTTCAAGACCAGTCCTAGACCCTCTTCCTTACCCCCATAGTCTCCCTTCGCCTGTACCCGCTATCGATTTGCAGATGATCCTCTACCTCCCTCCTCCCAGTATGTCTCCAGCCCAGGCTTCTCCTCGTGGCTCAGACCGTCTGTCCAACTGGCCACGTGATGCATCCACATGTGGGCATACATTCCTCCAGACCAGAAATGTGATCATCACCCCACACCTGGCCCTTCTTTATTGCTCCCTCTTGCACAGAACGGGTCTGCTGAGCAAATTCAAAACACAGGCACCCCCTTTGATACCTCTGCCCCCCACCTCAAATCCAGACGAACCCTGTTGGCTTTATTATCCTTAATGTTTCTTGAATCTAGCCTCTTAGCTTCCTCAGTTTCCCTCCTTAGGGACATCAAGGTTATTCTTGCTAATTCTATAATGTTACAAAGATACTGTGTTCACCATTGTATATACATCTCCTTGTGAACGTATGGGAGACTTTCTCTTAGACCTAGAAAAACGTCAGCTTATAGGGTATTGCCAGCTTGATTTTGAATTGATCTACGTTCTCCCAAAGAGCCATGAAACTTTCCTCTTTTCTCTCAGGGATTCCCACACGATTTTGTCTTTTGTTGCTAAAATGTTACCATCTGGACATGCTTGAGAAGTAGCAACATAGAAGCTGCTTTCTACTCTGACACTTGGGTAGCACCTCACAGCTTGTGGAGGGAATTCCTGAAAGCACCCCATTTCCACCTTAAAACAACAGCCCCACTTAATAGATGGGGAGACTGAGGCGCAGAGAAGTGACTTCACTTGCTCATTGTTGCCTGGTTTACCAAAAATGCCAGCTGCCTGCTATAAACCCCAGGGCAGAGTGGCACCGTCGCTTTAGTCCCCAGCCTCTACTCGGCTCTGACCCGGCAAGGCTGGCTCCTCATTGCCTTCGGATGAGTGATTCCCAGCCGGCTCCTTTCTGCAAGCGAGGTACTCAGCCAGAGGCTTCATTAACCCCTCCCATTCCTGCTTTGTGGGAAGAGAAAGGCTGTGTTTGAAACTAGTACCCAGTACTGCCGGACCTGGGGCTTCTCACGCAAACCACCCCCCTGCAGGTTGGTTGAGAGTTGAGGGTGGGTCTGGAGGTGGCTTTAGGAGCGATGGTTGGTCCTTCCAGGCGTGAAGCCCCAGGCGTGGCTGTCAAGGGACTTGCATTCTTTCCTTAGGGCTTAGCTCCAGCTCCTCTCAAGTTAGCATGGGGCAGTCACTCCGTTGTCCTCATCTGCTCCGGGTGGCAGAGAAGTTTCTGACCACGCCTGCCTCTGAGTATTGTAACACTGGGTGTGATGGGTGCCCTGTTGCCTTATCAGCCCTGCTCCTGGACTGAAGCACCTGCTCTTCCAGACTTGCCCTCAGAGGAACTGAATCTCCGGACTCACATTCATGCCCCTCTCTGGGGCAGCTCTCATCCAGTGACTGGTCATTGTGGATTACAAAGGTCCAGCCCTTTGCTTCAACTCAGGACAGCTCAGCAGGGCCATCCCAGATCTCCGTGTGGCACCAGACAACGCCTTCGCTTCAACTGTCTCACATTCCTTTCACCCAGTCCCGCGTGATTATACCCCCCTTCCCCAACAGGTGTTGATACTGAGAACAGTCCCCAGGAAACTTCCTGCACACGCATCTCCTTCTCAGAGTCTGCTTTCTTGGGAAATAGTCTACGAGTTTCTCATATCCAGTTAGTATGAGCAGGAGGCCACTGCTTCCGGGGACCTTCCCCAGTCCTTCCAGACCCTCTTGATGGGGTCCCTCCATAGCTGGAATGGACCCCTTAATGCTTGGCCGCCCAGACTGAGGCAGAGTCCAGGGGACCAGGGCACTGAATGGCTCTGGGTCCCGGGCTCCCTGAATGGGTGGACCCTGGTGATTTTGGTGGGGTGATATAATCCAGGGACCAACAAGCTCAGAGAGGGGTTATAGACTCAACTGTGGTTTCCTTTCTTCCAAGGGAGACATTAGAACTAATTCCAGTGCATCAGCAAGACTCTCGGGGCCTGTGTGAGTATCGGGGCTCCAGCCCTGTAGCTGGGCTGTGGAGTGGAGGGAAGCTCCAGCAGGTGGTGCTGGAGGTTTCTGGCCAGGAGAGGAGGAAGCTAATCCTGTCTGGGAAAGTTCTGGGGACATGGGGTTCTCCAAAGCAGAGGCTGAGACAGGGACCTATCTCCCAAGAAATGTGGTGAGAATGGGGAAGGGAGTCTGGGAAGGGAGAAAAGCCGAGCAAGCAGGCATTCGTGCCTGAGGACTGCTGCGGGCAATTGAGGCGGGGTGGGGGTGCTCCGAGATGCCGTGTAGGATAACCCTCAGAATCCTCCCACTCCTGGACAAGAGAGCTGGGGTTTTACCACCAACGCCCGTCCTTCCATTGGTGGAGTGATTTTCCTGATGGATTAAGTTCCCTGCCACTTCTGGCCTGTTTTGGGCTAAAGCTTCCACATCTGGGGGATGCCTTTCATGCAGAGAGTCACGGGAAGCTGGGGGCACCTGTAGCAGCTACAGCGGGTGGC